CCAGGAGGCTGGGCCCTCTTCCCTCTCCCTGGCTTGAGCGCCAGGCTGCCCGCCATCCTCGGCCCCAGGACCTCCCTCCTGGCCCACGAACGTGTTTTGCAAGGCGAGTCATCCGATGTGCGGGTCGGGGCTCCCCCGTCTGCCCCCCGGTTAATAACACAGGCATTCGTGGAAAGCCAGAAGGTGTTGACGGGACAAAGAAGCCACCGAGGCCGCCCCAGGGACCCCCGGCCACACCCAGGGACGTGTCTTTCCCTTTCCCGTGAGAGACTCCTCTGTGTTCTGGAGTCCTCCTGTGGAGGAGGCCACCATTCGGGGCTCAGCCCGGCCCCCTCCTGTGGGTTCCCGGCCGTCCGGGCTGTCACTGCTCCTGAGGCCCTCCCGGCAGCGGTGGCTGTCCCTGCGGCAGGGCCTGGCCCCCCCTCCCCCCGCACCTCGGCCCCCCCAGCACCCGCCCTGGCACCTCGTCCTCGGCGCACAGTGCCACGTCCTGTCCTCCCCAGGGCCGAGCTGGCACTGTCGTGGCTGCCAGGCGGCCCGGCCCTCTGGCCTCTGCTGTTTCCTTTGCTCCTTCAGAGAGTCAGAAAGAATCGAGACTTGGCCACGTTCTCCCAGCCTGGGTGGGGACCGACGCCCGCCTGCGCCACGCGCACGGGACAGGACTCGCGAGCCCAGGAGCCCGGGAGGCGGGAAAGAAGGCTCCCCTCTCCAGGCTGGGCCCTGGGCGTGGTGCCCCCCGGAAAGCGAGTGTTCCATTCTCCATAGGGACGGGTCTGGCTGTGTCGCTCGGGCTTGCCTCCAGCTCCCGGCTTCAGCCAACCCACGTCCGCCTCCCAAGGTGCTGGGCCCACAGGCGTGAGCCCCTGCCCGCCGGTGCCTGGCTTTTTCTGCCACCCTGGCAAGTGTCCCTTCAGCGTCCGTGCTGGGTCGCGTTTCAAGCGGACGTTTCAGCAAGTTGCTTGGTCACTGTGGACAGGACTCTCCTAAGAATGGGCTTCTGGGTCCTCTCAAGACCCTTGTCCTGACTCAGAACCCAGGGTGGGGTTTCCCTGGGGGTGGGGGTACATCCCGCCGGCCCACCCTGCCCAGGTTCGGGCACTGGTGTCCACCCCTGCCCGGGGCCATCCGACGGTGCCATGGCCTCTCCCAGCTCTGCCAGCCCTAGCGGGCTGCTGGGCCCCTCCAGGACCCCGCCCCAGGGTCCAGCCGGGCCCTCCCGCCTCCAGCCTCCCTCGGCCCGCTCCACGCCTGGCCTTGCCTGGGGTCTGGCTCCCACCTGCTGTCCCGGCCGGCCCGCGTGAGCTGATGCATTCTGGGTCCCACTTCCCCAGCCCGCGCCCTGCGGCCCTCTGGGGTGGCCCGGGAAGGGCGTCTGCAGCGGCCGGCACCCCACCATGGCACACGCCCCCGGGCCCCCCGGGCCCCACCCCTCCTGCCAGCACCCCTCCCGAGCAGCTGCTGCCAGCCTGGCCCTTCCGGTCCCAGTCACTTCCTCCCTGCTGGCCGGCCCCCGCCGTCGCGGAGCGCCACCACCCGAAGCCTCCCACTTCTCCCGCCTCTGTGGGTGTCAGCCCAGAACGTGCCCGCACTTTTCCTTCCCTTTGTTGTCTCCGAGCCTCAGTTTCCTCCAGCGCCCAGTGAGGATGAGAATGGAGTTGCTAGGGCAAGGCACAGGACCTCAAGCTTGCGATCCCCGCACTTTGGGAGGCTGAGGCAGGAGGATCGCTTGAGGCCAGGAAGTCAAAACCAGCCTGGGCAACAGAGTGGGACCCCGCCTCTACACACACACACACACACACACACACACACACACACACACAGAATCTAGGCTTGCGGTAGCGCCTGTAGTCCCAGCTACTTAGGAGGCTGAGGCAGGATCACCTGAGCCCAGAAGGTGGAAGCTGTGGCGAGTCGTGACTGTGCCACCGCACTCCAGCCCGGGCGACGGAGCGAGACCCCAGCTCAAAAACACGAAAAAGAACAGCGTTGTGGGGGATGGGTGGAGCTCGCCTCGGGGACAAGGCCCCCCCCACGCGCTCCGTGGGCACGCCCCTCCCACAGGCTTGGGTGGTGGATGCAATCAGGCCAGGTTTCCCGGAGGAGGCCCCTGATGTGCCCCTCACCCGCTCGCAGGGGGCCGGCTGCACGGCGCTCGTGGTGGCCGTGGTGGCCCGGAAGCTGGAACTGACTAAAGCCGAGAAGCATGTGCACAACTTCATGATGGACACGCAGCTCACCAAGCGGGTGAGACCCAGCTCGCCCCCCCGCCCCTCCTCAGGGCAGACCCTCCCCGCCTACCCTCTGCACACGCCCAGCTTGCCCGCTGGCGGCCCCGTCACGCTGTTCTGGGCTCCAACGCCTGGGGCTTCACCACGAGCCGCGTACGGACGCCTGACGGTGACCGTGTCTGGGTGTCCCCGGGACAGCCCCACAGGGAGAGGCCGGGGGCCAGGGCACTGGGTGCCCCTTGCCAGCTCCCTGACCTTAGTGGGTTGACTGTGCCTCAGTTTCCCGCCTCATGTGGGAGTGAAGGCAATACCAGCGTGTGCAGATTTGCTGAGTTAACGTTGGCAAGTTGTGTGGACAGGGTCTGCTCGTGGTGAGCGTGCTAGGCGCACACGCACATGCGCGCACACACACACACGCTGCACAGGTGTGGACGTGGAAGGACGACCCTGCCTTGCAGTCTGGGGATCCCAAGGAGCATTTTCAGAGACTTCTAGACATTTCTGGAAGCTTCCAGACGGTCCCGGAGGTTTCAGGAGCCTCCACAGTTTGGCCTGTACCCTGAGGAATTGCTCTTTTCTGGGCCTAGGTAAAAAGTGCCGCCGCTAATGTTCTCAGGGAGACGTGGCTCATCTACAAACACACCCGGCTGGCGAAGAAGCCAGACCAGGCCCGGGTTCGGAAACACCAGCGTAAGTTCCTCCAAGCCATCCATCAGTAAGTCCAGCACCTTCCGGTTCGCGTTTCGTGTCCGCCGGCTCGGAAGCAGCCCCGCCGCTCAGCGTGGCCTGGTCGTAGCGCCCTTCACCCCTAGGGCTGGGCGGCCAGTTGGTCAGGGCCTGTATCTTCTGTGCTGGGTGGGATGGCAAGACTGTCACAGGGAGGCAGGTCATGGGCTCTGATAAGTCACGGACGTTGGTTGAGCACCATGTCTCACGCCTATGATTCCTGCACTTTGGGAGGCTGAGGTGAGAGGATGGCCTGAGCCCACGGGTTCAAGACCAGCCTGGGCAGATTGACGAGACCTCATTTCTACAGTAAAAAAATTAGCCGGGCATGGTGGCACGTACCTGTAGTTCCAGCTTCTTGGAAGGCTGAGGCGGAAGGATCGCCTGAGCCCGGGAGGTCGAGGCTGCAGTGGCCGTGAACGTGACCCTGTACTCCAGCCTGGGCGACAGAGTGAGACTGACTCAAGGAAAAAAAAAAGTCACAGATGTAACCCAAAGTTAGTAGCAAGAAGTGCGTTTTATTCTCTGGAATAATAACTCACGTGATGTTTACCCTTAGACTTTGAAATAATTGCTCTTTTTTTTTTTTTTTTTTTGAGTTGGAGTCTCACTCTGTCGCCCAGACTGGAGTGCAGTGGCTGCTCCCGGCCACCGCAGCCTTGACCCGCTGGGCGCCGGCGATCCTTCCGCCTCAGCCTTCCGAGTAGCTGGAACTACAGGCACACGCTACCACGCCCGGCTCATTTTTGATTTGTTGTAGAGATGAGGTCTCATCAAGTTGCCCAGGCGGGTCTCAAAGCTCTTTTTTTTTAACGGCCAGGAAGCTCTGAATTAAATTTCCGGCTTGCTGGGCGTGGTGGCTCATACCTGTCAATCCAGCACTTTGGGAGGCCAAAGCAAGAGGGACTGCCTGAGCCCAGAGTATCGAGACCAGCCTGGGCAACGTAGAGAGTCCCCATCTCTACAAAAAAAACAAAAAAACAAAAAAGCCAGGCGTGGTAGCACGTGCCTGTAGTTCCAGCTACTTGGAAGGGTGAGGCGGAAGGATCGCCTGAGGCGGAAGGATCGCCTGAGCCCAGCAGGTCGAGGCTGGGGTGGCCAGGAGCAGCCACTGCACTCCAGTCTAGGCAACAGAGTGAGACTCCAAAAAAAAAAAAAAAAAAAGAACCTACCTCCTGCCTGGTACTGTTTAGGCCCTTATACACATTGGCTTATTTTTCTGCCCAATAATTTTTTGAGCCAGGTATTACCACAACAGTATGCACAGAGTCAAAGGTGGGACTCTGATTTCACAGTCAAGGCTTTTTCCACTACACCATGCTACACTAAGAAACCACAAAAGAGCTTTCTGATTAATAAGTTCCAGTGCAACACCTTATCTACATAGATCACTCTTTTAGGAGTCGCTCCTCCATTCTTTAAATCCAAGTTTTTCTTATTGTAAACATTAATTGTTGTGGTGATGATAATACAAAAACTATAATCTGGCTTTTTTTTGTTGTTGTTGAGTCGTTTTGCTCTGTCTCCCAGGCTTGAGTGCAGTGGAATGATCACAACTCACTGCAGTCTCAACCACCAGGGCTCAGGTGATCCTTCCACCTCAGACTCTTGAATACTTGGGACTACAGGTGTGTGCCACCATGCCTGACTAATTTTTGTTTGTTTGTTTGTTTTGGACACAAGGTCTATGTCAACTAGGCTGGTCTCGAATTCCTGGGTTCAAGCAATCCTCTCACCTTGGCCTCTAAAGTGCTGGGATTACAGGTGTGAGTCAGCCGGGCACGGTGGCTCAAGCCTATAATCTCAACAGTTTGGGAGGCGGAGGCAAGAGGATTGCCTGAGTTCAAGGGTTTGAAACCAGCCTGAGCAACATGGCAAGACCTCATCTCTATTAAAAAAAAAAAAAATTAGTCGGGCATGTTGGCACATGCCTGTGGTTACAGCTCCTTGGAAGGCTGAGGTAGAAGGATCACCTGAACCCAGCAGGTCAAGGCTGTGGTGGCCATGAGCATGACACTGAACTCCAGCCTAGGCAACAGAGTGAGGTACTGACTTAAAAATCAAAAACAAAAACAAAATACAGGCGTGAGTCACCATGCCCGGCCTAAAAGCTTCTTCTTTTTGTTTTTTTTTCTTGAGTTGGAGTCTCACTCTGTCACCCAGACTGGAGTGCAGCGGCCGCTCCTGGCCACCG